TTCAATAGCAACTACGGAATATAATGACGAAAAATCTTGGTGAAGATTTGATCAATTCATTTTGGCCAACATTTGGTATCGCATTCACAATTACTCATCAGGTTGATTTGTTTGCATTCCTGCGTGTATTACACATAATAAATCTTTTAAATTGTTGCACACACTCAATGTGTGCGTGATTTTTGTGAAACAAAAACGTTCCCATAAATATTCATTTCAATGTGGTATTTTTCTTTTTGGCTGCTGGCATTTACACCCCGTATAATTGATTGGCGTTATTTACATCATTTTACACTGATACTTTTACGCGTACACACAACTCATTTTTGCTTCAATTATTATTATTTTTGTTGGTTTTTTTTTCATCGCCTAGCCACCTCCATTCAACATTATATATAAAGCATGCCTACAATGGCCCAACCACAAAAGGCAACACACCGATCGATGTCAATAAATTAATAATTTAACATTATTGATTTATTTCTGTGATTTCTGCATTATAATCAACCAAATATTTATGCCCATAATCATAAAACTGTGTAAATTAATATTGCACGCTCGCGCACGCCATTGTAATGCAGTTACATTTTATTATTCACAGTTGATATTATGAAAAATGATTCGTATTTGTTTATTAATGCAACTTTTAATTCGGAGAGATAAAATGTATGTGAGACAAAAAAAAGAAGTTGACGCCATTTTTGATCGGATTTCATTCTTGATTCTGAATTTTCAACATAATATTATTTTAACCGATTTTTCTTTTTTGGATATTTTCATATGCTATATAGACCATTTATAGCTTGAAAAATTTGCTTTTTATAAATGTGAAAGTGTTTTGAGCAGCATTTCAGAATTTAAATGGAATAAACACACATAGAAAATGAGACACTGTTTTTAGAAAATTCAGCTTCGTCATCCACTTCAATTTTTAACTCAATAATGTTTGCCTATTTTTCGTTCAATTCCAGCACAGCGAAAGACAACAAAAATAAAGAGCATTTCGAAACATTAGCACTCGATTGACTTAAAATTAGTTTCAATTTTATTCTAAAACGAATGGATGAAGTTAGAGAAATTGAAACGTAATTACGTTTCTTTCTCATCAGTTTAACCCGCTTGCAATCACGCAATAACATCGATTAATGTATCTAAAGTGAATAAAGCTTAAAATTGTGTTGCAAAAAGTAACTTGATTAGAATGTAAAATACGGTGCCATTGTCATTTCTCTCTATTTTTCTATTTTGTTCGCAAAGACAAAAAGACACATCGACATTTTTCGTTGATGAATTTTTTTATTAAATTAGTCCCGAATTAATGAGAACTCGCTTCAATGGCAGTAATGTACATTCACAGTATAAAATTAATAAAGTGGTGAAATTGAATTCTTTCTTCGTTTTGTGTGCTCTAGACGATGGGAAAAATTCAATTTTTATGACCTTTGATTTTTCGATAGAATCATTAAGTGCTGTTCAATGTAATCTCTAGTGTAGTGATTCTTTTCTTGTGATTTAAATGAATCAGCATATTGATTTGCATAAAATCATGTACTGAATTCGTACTAGAATCAGAATTAATTGACGATGAAATAGAAGAGAAGAGAAAAAAACACGAGAGATTGTATGTCGAAAATGTTAACATTTTAATTTTTAAAAGCCTCTGAATGTTCGCTGTCATTATGCAAATTCTCTAACAAAAATAGTCTGCACACGAAATATTATTTTTTTACCACAAATTTAACATATAAAATGTGCCGATGAACTTTTTAATTGAACCTAACTTACGACCGATTCGGAAAAATCCAACAATAGCCAAACGCAAGAATTATTGCCACAAATCCGTTTTTAAATGCTTTTTTCTCAACAAAAATTGTGTTGATATTTCAAATTTGAAAAAAAAAAACTGTGTTCATGAATGATGACGACGAACATTTTTTTCTGTTCCCTTTCTCGTACTACATAAATTTGGACACGAAGTTTAACACTAAAAACTAATTAAAAAGTCGGAACTCGTTTCATGTTGCATGCAGTTAGTCTTTAAACCCTTGAATGTGTGCATTTTTTTTAAATATATTTTTGGAAATGTATTTTGTTTTTCTGCGCAATTGAAAATTCCAGGGAATTATATTTAATTCAAGAAACCAGAAATATTGCATCAACTCAATTTCGATTAGAATGTATTAGAAATATAATTTATGGAGCCAAGCGAATAACATACTTCATGTGGAAATAAGTCGGAATGGTTTGTAAAGTTTTTTGTATAAATCTGTGAGATTAGAACCATCTTTGAAAATATTTTCGAAAATTAACCAGCCAGCCAGCATAATCGAATGAATTGAAGCTGACTAGCATTTAAAATTTTACATGTATGTATTTGATCTATTGTTTTCGTAGATTTTTCAAAAGGGGGATATATGTGTGTATGATGCATTAAAACTTTTCTCATTAGTATATCCTTCGACCATTTCCCATGCATCTTTTCTCTCACACAACCGCCCGCTCATTCACAAGTAATGTCGAATATCCTGTCGGGGCCAAAGATTAAAAAGGTAAGTAATAGCACGTACCGTGCTGATGAATATTACTGTAAAACTTTTCTAAAGTAATATCCGACGGTTAATAAAAACCATTCTAACTACCGTTGTGTATCGACAATGACACCACAATAAGTGTCAAGTGCCAACAATAATGCATACTGTCGTCGCAATTATGTATACCGTATGGTATTTGGTGGTTGAACAGATGGCATATAAAAAGATGCAACTTTTCATTAAGTTAAATGCGGTAATCCGTTTAAGATGGCATCTTTAAAATGGTTATAAATGTACAGTATGTTTCATTATAGAGAGAGGTTGATTTTTTATAATAAAACTCAAGAGTTTTACAAAATTATTTTATATACATTCTATTTAGTATCTAAGCTACGGCGCCACAAATTAATATTTAATCCATTCTCCTGCCTTCTCGATCACACAGGCACATCTATTCGGCATACTTTTGCTCAAATTTTCAGCATATTCGCTTTGAAAACCTTTCCACTGGCGCTGAATGAATGAACTGAGCTGCTTCAAATTGCGGTATGTTTTACCACGAAGCCATGCCTTAATAATAGCCCAAAAATTTTCGTTCGGATTGCAATCGGGTGACTGTGGCGGCCAGTCCATTTGTTTAATGTCATTTTCCTCTTTCCAAGCATTGCATAGACGACTTTTGTGTTTTGGATCGTTGTCTTCTAATAGAAGCCAATTCGAATTGTGGTTGCCATAGAACTTCTTAGCGATGGGTAACTGTGTCGATGAATAATGTTGGTTCATCCTCACGGCGCTTGGAATCCCCGTGAATATGGTCAACTTTCCAAAACCAGCTTCACAAAAGCAACCATAAGCATGCACCTTTTTCGGATACTTTACCGTGCGAACGACCATTCTCTTTTGGGCTCTAGACTAGGCATGGGTAGTGCTATTCACCAGCCAAAAGAATGACTCGTCAGTGTATATAACTTCGCTCCAATCTCTTGTTGAATTTTGCTTTGCCCCGTCAGTGCCTTTTTCTTCTGGTTTTCTGTCAAAAGCGGTTTCTTCAATTTACTGCGATAACGAACACCGGCAACATCTAATCTTCTCCTGATAGTAGAGCGCGAGACCTCTATTTTAAGACGGCGTAGCCGTTCAACACCTTGGCTCAACAACATACCTAAATTTTTATCGAACAACTTGACTCTCCGTTTATCTTCCTGTTGCGAGGAGGCTCAGTTTGGCTTCAGATTGGGCTAGTCGCTCACTTTTTTTTCATGCTTATACTGCTGGATTCACTTTATTACGAACCCTTTTGACTTTTTAATGTATTTAGCAGTCGATGTGATCGACATTCTTTGTCCTTTTGGATGCAAATGCAGAAAAACGGCTTCAAACCGTGAATGAAAATGTTCGGAAATAATGTTTTCGTTGCACAACAAACACTGTACTGATTTGAGAGCTGTCATTGTTAATTGGCGTAGTAGCTTAGAGTCTCATATGGCAACACCAAAAACATTTTTAGGATATTTGAAATTTGTGGTAGTTAAATCAACCTCTCTCTATAATGAAACATACTGTAAGTGAAAAACATAAGAGCTTTTACTTCATATTTTGGTGAAATTTTGTGAAATCTTAAAAAAATCGCTCAAATCAAGATAACACAAAATGGATAATTGTATTTAAATGTTGTCTAATAATGAGAAATGGCAAAGCCTTCAATAAAGATTTTCGTCGTTAGTTATATTGTATTTGTGTAAGAAATTGAAAGGCAATGTTTCATTCCATCCATGAAACATCGCATTCAAACTTAAGGCATGTGGATCAATAGATAAATATAACCGATATTTTCGCAACACCACAATGTCATTTGTGCTGAAATATCACTTTAGAATGCTCTTTTTCGAATGTATCATCGAACATAGCAGATAAACGAATAATGTTACCACTTTCTGAATAACTTTTGGGTTAACAACAGAATTGAAAGATCCGTTTGAAATGTGTTGTTGTTATTTAAAAATAGAAGGATAACTTGTGAATGTTGTTGTGTATTCTATGTCCATATACAGTGAGCATTTCATTTTAAACGATCTCCACTCTTCTTGAATATTTTATTTTAAACTGTTTTGTCACAAAACACGGAATTGCATTCAATCAATCTCCGAAAATAAACGAATCTTAATTGGTAACAGGTTTAGATGGTGACCGATAAATTCAATAGTGTAAAATATGTATTGCTATTTCTATGCATTTCCAAAAAGAAATTCTATCAACAATTGATGCAACAATGTTTTGCCAAAAACTCAACAATTTCAATCGGAAACAAGAGAAAAAAAAATAGTTACATTGTATACAAAAATGAAGTTGTAACCATAAATCCAGAGAAAATGAAATTGCACAAAATGTTCATGCACATACACAAAATGTGCAGATTGAATGTGGTTCATAAAATTAGTAGCAAAAACATATAAATATATGTATACATACCGTATGCGAGCAACGGAATTTTAGCAACGGTAAAGAGTCCAATCCACAAACAGAGTATATTTAAAATATCCAACTTCATCTTAATTGCATTTTTACAATGGAGCACAAATACCATAAAATTGCATTTCTCGTTAGCCTCGTTGCACGTTTCTTTCCTCTCTTCGCTCTTACTCTCCGGTTTCTGTGTGTTCGAATGGCGTTTTATTACATCAACCGTTTGTGATGCCGGTCTCACTTTGTTTATTTTTTTCCGTTTTTTTTTTTTTTGTCTTTTTAACGTTATTCACGATTTCCGCCTGGTAGTTCGCTTGCCTTATTCTTGTATATATTTTTTTCTTCCTCAGTTTGGAGTTTCCGTTTTTCCCTCTGTTCTCTTTGTGTGTATAAATTCAGTTTCCCGTTTTTCGACTCTTTTACTCGTTGAAACGGGGCAAGTCTCATAAATTTTTCATTATAAAATCTGAGCGTGACACGCGTTACTCACAAATATGCGCGCGAGCACTTCACAGACTCATACAATAACTACGAAGACGACAATAACAAAACATTGAAAGAGAGAATAAAAAAGCGCGTTTATATTAGCTCTGACAGTATTTCACAATATTCACCTTCATCGATTGCCGTCACCATGTTTGCATGCCACGAAAATGAACATAAGCGACGATGCATTATTATGAACACGTCGCACATGTATATCACTCAATGTAACACTAAAAGAATTGTTTCACCACGGCGACGATCGTACACTTTGAAAAATGTATATTTGACCAGTTTTATTGTTCACTATCTCGTCACTCGTGAATCCGTTTTTGTTGTGATTCGCTTTCAAATTGAAACAGTTTACGCACCGGAGCTACAAATACACAAACAGTTAGACATTTAATGTAGCACAGCAGAATAAAAAAGAACTGCCAAAAGGAACAAAGAAATGAATGGCAATAACAATGAAAACAACGAAAAAAAAAATGGAACTATGCCTCAGATGAAAAAAGGGAAAATTGTTTTTGTTTGTGACTGAATGCAATTTAATGCCTTCTGTATCTCTCGCACTAATAAGCAATCCAGTTGTCTTTTGTCGACTTTCTCTTTCCGTTACTCTCTTTCCTTACACTATGCCTCACGTACCCTTTGTATTTCCCTTTCGCTCGATGTGTGTATGCATAAAATATTACATAATTTCACTCGCACTGTGACTTCAGCACTGTGACAACATGCTCGTTCGAAGCGTAAACATACTAACATCCATTGTGTATTTGCATATCAAGCGAAATAAACAAACAGCACGTAAAAAAACCTGCCTGCTTCTTTGTCTCTTATGCACGGCCCGTGGTGTGTTTTTCACCTCGTTTTCAATCGTCTGTGCAGCAGCAGCAGATTCAACGCGACACATTTATTTGCAAACGCACAAAATACGCGATTGAGTAAGTGTGGAAAATAGTGGATTGTGAATAGACGACAACAACGATGTCGGGCTGGATGGTTGCAATGCGAAAATTGTCGGAATTGCGGGAAATAACCACTGTTTTCGCTTCAAATGCATTCGATGCAAAAAAAAAACGCCGACGCAGCACAACACAATATTCTTTGCACAAAGAATAACAATTCTATCTCTTTTGTGAAAGCACTTTTTTGTCTCACTCAATCGTTCGCGTATTTGTATATATATTTGTGCAATGTCTCGCTGTTGATGCTTTTCAAGTCTTTTGGCTGTGAGTTTATGTCCTGTAACAGTGCGAAAAAAACCCGTTTCACAGTTTTTCTTAATGTTATCGTGTAAATTTTATTTCTAGCTCTCGTGTTTGTTTCTGGCTAATGGTTTTTTTCTCCCGATCGATCCTCCTCTCTTCCGCTGATTGTTTTTTGTTGTTCCGTTGCGAATTGTCTTTTTTTTTGAGTGTGAGTCTTAACTCAGTTTTGTAGCTTTTTAATGATTTGTGATTGTGACGATAATGAATAAACCTATGTGTGTGTGTGTGTGTGTATAGAAAGTTTACAATTTTTAGTTCTGACTATTTCAAATTTTTCTTTTTCAAATTTTCACTAAAACAGCAAAATAGACACATTCACATGAACTTTTTGTAGAAAACCGAAAATTGTGATTCAAATTGGATAAGAGAGAAAGTTAGTTTTCTGTTTTCGACCAATAAATCCATTATAAGTTTTATGCACTTGTGTATGCTCGTGATTTTTGATGGTTTTTCTCTCTCTCTCTCTGTTCGTTCGATGCAATAAATGTTTTAATTCCGTTGTTCGTAGTCTTCGTTTTTGTCGGATTTGATTGTTCACTCGTGAACTTAGTTTCATTACACGCTTCAACGATGAATTGTTGTTTGATGTTCTATAATTTTTTTTTTGGAAAATTGTAAAATATTCACAACGATAAAATTGCATGCAGTTTTCGGACGTGATTTTCTTTAACATTTACATCAGAAAATTGATGGATATTTTATGAGAAGTTATGCAGCTATGAATCGTTCATTTTTCGCTTGAAATGCACATTTTTCATTTTTTTTTTTTAAATTCTTTCTATTTTTTCGTCAATTTTGAGATTTCTACACAACCACTTCACAAAAACAATTTAAAATGAATCACATTTCGAAAATAGTGTTCGCGAAATATTTTACTGATGCCGGTGACATCGGCCAAAAATACATTCGTTTCGGTTGATGTCTAACAAATGACTAAAGTCGAAATGTGTAGAGCAGCCAGCGTTAGCACACATACGTTCGTTTGTTCACTCGTTCGCCATCGAATGAATTCTAAATGAAATTGTACGTTGGATTCAATTGTCTACTCGTTTGCCGAACGATGATCATGCGCATTGCATCGCATCGCAACGATTTGCGTGTGATGTATATTTTTTATTCATCTTCTGTTAGTTGCCATTGACCAAAAAACCCCGAAATGCAATCACATAAGACATAACACAATTTTGTTGAGGATTCAGAGAGAAATCGAGATCTCCGGCAACCATCAATGTTCATTAAGTTGTTCTACCTTTGTGCTATTGCTGCTACCGCTGTTGTTACCTATTTGTCTGTTGAGTCCAAGCGGTACGTTTCGACTACTGTGTGTATTTGCTCAAATCAGAATTCTCTCGCTTGGGGTAGACAAAACAATTGAATCCAAAAGCAAATCTAGTCGAAATATACACGAATCAGTTCACCGTGTCAACCAAAACATTCGGTCGAGTGTGTTCGTTTGTACGTATTTGTAATGGCTTAGCGACCACAAAATTGCATACACCAGAGCCACACAAAGAAACTATTACAACTTCATGGAAATACTTTGAATGTCAATAAAATAGATTCGCATACACGCAAAACGAACATACATCGTTTCATTTTCAGTCGCATTCACCAGCAATTGACATTTATCTTTGGCGCTTTTCGGCCTTACCATTAAAATTATTGTCGATTTGGCAATGATCTAAACTAATGGATTTATCGCACATGAAAAGAGCTCGATGTGGTGACAAAAAAAACGATTTGGGCGAAACTCCGTTTGTGAACGAGAAACACAAAATGTGTCGTTTGTAGAAATTGTTTACTTCAAGGCGTTAGCACGAATTAGCAGTGATAAACCATATAATTGCAGCTCCAACTACCGAATCAAGATGACAAAATAAAACAATGAAAGGGACGAGAACAAATGAGAAAAACGAACATCTTTGATCATATTTTATCTATGCACACATGAATATGTTTGGCATCTGTTTTATTCCATTTCATTTCCTTCCATCTAAAATCTGCAAGACGATGCAAAAGAAGAAAAAAAACGCGTTTTTGTTTCTGTTTGGCCACTGCAAAATCGTAAAAATATTGTCATTGAGAGGCGCTTTGTTTGAGCATCGGTGTCTAATGCCGATAAAAGAAAATCCATGGCTAGAAAAAAAAGAAAGCACAAACCTTTCAAACAAGTGCAAGAATTGGCAACGTTTAACGATACGGCGTTCGGTTTTAAGTGTTATTGCCGTCGAAAAACGACACACGCAAAAAGATATGAATTTTTTTTGCTTTCAAAAGCGACGATGGCGCGGCAGTATTGAATGAAAAAGGAACCCAGCATAACTATAACCGAAATAAAATTTATAGCTTCTTGAGGGAAAAAGATGCGAATAAGATTGCCACATTAGATATAGTTGTGTGAAGCAGAACTCACAGTGTAAAACTAGAAAAGACAAAGGCATCTCTGAACGAAATGGAAGGATTGCACAGCTTCTTGAGACTGCTAACGGAAGGGGGTGCAATTTTTTTTTATTGATATCCATGAATGATTTTAGTGCATTTACTATAGCTCTATTCTTCACATTGCAATATGGATTTAAAATAGTTTTATTTCCGTCGTATAAATTTGTTGGATTGGCATCGTTCTTATATGGCTTTTGCATTCGGTGTGACGGGATATGTATTGTGCAAACGACACATTCGATTCGATCGAAATGGGATTCGAATCGTTTGACTGTGTTGCCGTTTGACAATTGTATGGAGGGAACTTTTTCGTTTCAGAATTGATGGAGCGATTCGCGATCGACAATAAAACGAATTGGCCACAACTTTTATTTTTCGACGCAGTATATTTTCAAATCGATAAACCGAATTTAATGGTTAAGTTTGTAAATTAGACAAAAGATGTATAAGAAGAGAATACCGAAAAAAAAGACTTCCGTACGAATGCCGACATCGAATTGTAGTTTTTATTACAAATTTCTTGTCCCAAAAATTTGTCGTGAGTAAAAAATGCCTTTCATTTCAACGAGAAAATGAAAAAGAAGAAAAAAAGCATTTGGAATGCTTGACAAAATAGGGAGGTGCATCAGGTGAAAAGTTTTACAATTAATTACGATTTTGTTAGTCCATGACTAAATCTAATTCCGTCTTATTATATAGACAAGCAAAAGTTGGCGCAGACCAAAATTGAGAGCAGCAACAGCCAAGTACAAAATTCATCAAGACGAGTTCGAAATTTGCGTCATGGTTAATAAATACAAATAAATGGACTTTCCCGAAGAATTCGTTCAACTTGTAAAATCTATGTATTCCATTAGTTTGAACGACCCACAGAATTGTTGAATTCGAACACCGATGCCGGTGAATACTTCAATGTTACAGTATGTTTTTTTTTTGTGTGTCGATATGCTTCCTGCATATTACATAATAAAATCATTACATTATGGCGATGGTGGCCATAGGCCATTGTCTTTTAATGCTATTCAAATTAAGTGAGTAAATTCGGTCGGTGTTGCCATAATCCTCATAAACGCTTAACGAAATTCCATGTAATTACATTTATGTGATGAAAGTCATAAAAGTGTATGACGATGATGAAGGAACGGGCCAACGGTAGTGCGCATCACGTCGCAAAAAAAATACACAGTTTTTCGTTCAGAAAATCAAATAATCTCGCACAGTGTATTTCAAAGCATCATCAGTTGGATGGAGTCGAAAGCAGAGAGTAAAAACTTCTGTTTTAGAGAGAGTGGCTGGCTTGTTGACATTTCGTGCACAATGAGCTTGTTTGCACCTACCGAATTGCATTTTTACCATATATATTTTTTTTTAACTCGCCATTTAAACGATTTTGTCTGTGGCCATGCAAACGAATGACATAAATTACTATCATCATTTGAAGAACCACCTTATATTATTTTTGTGATTATAAAGAAAAATCACAAAAAATCATGATTGCGAAAAAAGATGCTCTTGAATTATGTTCATTGCCTTTTTAGTTGAATTTAAGTTCCAAGGTTTTTTGCGCAGTTTTTTCCTCATCAAGTCATTGAATTCGATGCATTTTCAAAGAATTGAAGAAAGACTAGCTTTTATGAAATTAAAGTTTTGTGGTACTTTTTATCGTTTTTGCTTGGTGAACAATCTTTTTGTTTCACTATTCCGTTGATGGATTTAATGATATTATAATAAACATGAAGATGCAGATTTCAGATATGAAAAAATCAATTTCGATGTTCAGTGACTGTGCATCGATGGTGTTTTTCCCTCAAAAAGTTTTCAACAGATATCAATTAATTTCAGGTAGATTTTGTGTGTGTGTTTTTTTTTTCGTAAAGTTTCTTTGTGTTGTAAGTTGCTTTGGAAAAAATTGGAATTTGTGGAAAAAAAAGTTAATACAGATCTTGCCACATTTCCCAAACAATTGCTTTGAAATTAATTATTTGATGGATATCTAGCTATAAGCAAAATTATGTTCGTAGAATTTCAAACACATTATTGTAAACTATTTAAAATGCCAAAATTCAATTTATTTCAAAGTAAAGAAATTGTTTATAATGTTAGCTTTTGAAATTCGTTTTGATTAGCATTTAATAAATGCGTCCATTAACATTAAATTTTAATGAGTGGCAGAATAAAAAACGGAAGCTCTTTTGTTAAAGCAATTCACGTCGTATCATATTTAAAGCATATTATGCACAAACTATATCCACTTGCTTTTGGTAAAAGCCATAAATCAAAAACTCGCATAATGAATATGTTGAAACAATCAAGTTTTTAAAAGTATTCGAATCGGTTGAGCCATCAAATAAAATGGAATTTATATTGAATAAAGCAGACAGAGCCTTGGCAACTCTCTCCCTCTGATTTACATTTGATTAATTTTCAATGGATTTTAGATTTATTCATTGCAACTGACTACATCATAAGGGCAATTTAAGCAGCTTGTATTCATTTCATATTCTCTCTTACAAAATCTACATGAAAATGCAAGAGTATGCAGTGTAGTGTAACAGACAACACTGGTGTGCAATGTGTCTATTAGCTTTTCGATGCTGTTTAAGTGTTTGGCAACAAAGTTTCCATGATGGTCATAATTCACTATTGTTTTCGAAAGATGTTCTTTCGAGCATGAATGAATTTATGCATGCACATCAAGATTCATAATAAAATACTTTGTGAAAGCTCAAGGATGTGTTTATCATAAAGAGAGAAAAAATGGGGAAAGGATGAGTGAGTCGATCACTTTTTTGACATTCTGAATGATCTCGTTATTTTTTCCTCTCTTTTCCTTTCTCTCTCTCTCTCTCTGACAGCATGACAGAATGCTGCATTTGAACTTTGCTCAAAGCAAACAAAAACTTGATGGATACGAAAATAGAATCGGAAGATTTGTTCGTTGAAAAATGATTGGCATACTTTTATTACGAGAAATTGCATGAGTTTGACCTATTGTCAACATTTTTTTTTATTTTTTCAAGCAAATCGTTCGACCTATTTTCTCGACTTTTGGATTCAGTAGGAGTATCTACACTTGACATATACACACTTTGTGAACTCTTGCATAGTTAGATCGATCAAATAAGCATAAAAGAGAACCAATTATATTCGAATCGAAAAGGATTATGTGAGTTCATAAGACTACTTTCTTCGAGATCTATCACATTCTATCAATGAAATATATATATTTTATAATGATTTCATGTTGATGGTAAGAAAAAAGTGTGCACTTCGATTGCTTAAATCGAAAAATCTTGAAATAAGCAAAGGTGATGAGTTTGTGAAAAAAGCTCAAGCAGTGAACATGGTATAATTATAAAAATGCGTGATTGTTAATAATATGAATTTTTCACATTATTGTTTGCGATGAAAAACAATCGCAACAAAGTCCTTGTTTCGTGATGAGATTTTCTGAGATATTCAATTTACAATTTTCTCGAGTTGTGAAATAATAATACGGAAGAATTGTGATTTTCACTTAAAAAGATTAGATTGTTCGAGCAG